GTCTGCTGCCCTCTCTTGGTATCAAATATAAAAACAAAAGTACACATGGAATTGTTGTTCATATACTAGTAATGTTATTATTCATACATAATATCCTATCCTAAATTTCCTATCCTACATGTAGTACCCCCTCATTGGCAGGATTCATAAATATTATAAAAAGTTTAAGAAGGTTCCATATTCTGTGCAAGTTTCATGTGCATGTCAGTCCCTGCCATCCCAGAATGCAATGGGCACTTGGAAAAACAAGGTTATCGCCCTATTCAAATATGCAAAAATATGCTAATATCCAAGAATACCAGAATAAAAAAAATTAGATTTATATACAACTTATCAGTTATAGTAAGTAAGTTACTGACACATAGAAAGTAGATGTAAATATTAGTTTTTCTAGTTTTGTAACATTATCTAGGACTTTTATGATGATTGAAAAATTGTTTGTTTTTTTTAGAAATCGATGCAGAAGAAATTGAGAGAGCAAAAGATGTACCGGTAAAAGTAGATGAGAAAGAAAAAGATTCTCAGAACAGTGCTGTTTCTATGGCAACAGGGGATTCAGATGCTAGAGATCAGATGGAAGAAGTGCTTTTATGTGGGATTTGTCAAGATATATTACATGACTGTATAAGGTAATTTCTTGTTCTCTTTTCTTGTTTTTTTTCCCATACCTCTCCATGGTTTGTTGTGTTCTGCCACTTTCCATAGCATAACTGTACATTCATCCATATTTTTTACCCCCTCCTATCCTTATGTTTATCCATACTCACTGAGACTTGCAATTAGTCCTCTCTTTTTTCTAAAAATTTGTCTGATTTATTAATGGAATGGGATCAATACAAAATAATTGTGTCCGTTGGAAGTGTTCTCTGCCAATAGATCACTTATTAGTTTTTCATTTTCTAAAATTTATTTTTTTATATTCAAAAGAAAACAAACAGGAAACATGTCCACCAAATTTAATACCGGTCCGGAGTTCTGCCTAGCCAGACTTGAATTAATATTCATGAGTTAATTAATATTTATGAATTTTTATCACAATAGTTGTGATTTAGCTCTGAATAGTTTGACAAATTTATCTAGTTTGACAAAAGTGAAGAATGAATACACTTTTAAAAAAAAAATACATATCTTGAGATTTTGATCAGGGTATAGCCATGATCTCCACTGCCAGGCTGTTTTCGAGGGACACAAGTACCTTGTTTTTTCAGGTCACCTTGACTTTCGCTTTCACTCTGTTTTTATTTTACAATCTAATTGGATTAACTCAGACATCATTTGTTTTATAAAAAGACATATAAAAATGCAAGGTCTGTATGCAAATCTAATATTTACTGTATTCCTCGATAATATAACACTATCACAAGTTCCAATTTGTCATACCTTTCACTTGAAATATCCAAAGCAAACTGGCACATTGTAACTTTGATTTCAATATTGTGGCTATGACATTTTCACGATAGTTGATTGGTTACTGCTTTCATTTTTTTGATAGAGTAAAATTAATTTTTTTCTTTTTAGTTTACAGCCATGTATGCATTCCTTCTGTGCTGCTTGTTATTCACCGTGGATGACAAAATCCAAAGAATGTCCATCAGTAAGTCACTGTTACCATGACTACACATTCCTACACTCTTGCTGTCAGACAGTAAGAATATCAGCAATGTTGCTGTGAGACATGTTAAAGGGAGGGGGTCATCGGGCAGTGCATGTTCAAATTTCATGTAAATTCCCAAAACAATTGCAATGAACACTATGACATATTTACCATATTCACGGGAGAGCCTATGTACCAAATCATGTAAAATATGCGTGAATATTATTATTATTATTATTATTATTAAAATTACCATGTGACTGTTTTCTAACCAATCTAATCATTTCAAATTACCATGTGACTGTATTTTAACCAATCAGATATAATAATGATCATCAATTTCTCTACATTCAATACTTTATGTTTAGCACCTTGTGGTCATTGATCATTGTTGATTTACTGTTTTCACTGTGCAGTGTCGTAACAGGGTAATGAGGCTGAGT